ATATTAAAACAATCTCACCACTTGCTCAATAGATGGAAAGATCATATCTTGTTGGGACAATCACAAACAACTGCAAGTTTCTATGCAAATTCCATTAAAAGAAAAACTGTTTGAAGTGTTTGTTTGCAAAAATTGAAACATTAATCCATGGTTTCAATCTAATCTCATGGGAAGAAGGTAGAATGAGAATGCATCATACAAAACAAATCATACGTTGCTTCCCTTATCTAATACAAGTAGGATGTTTGCCTACTTCTCAGAAGACTATGCACTGTTGTTCTTCGACATGCTATTACCAAAATCAAGTCTTAGATTCATAATGCACTTCGACAATCAAATTGAGATTTAGGAATTGGGCTATACAATTGAAGTCGTGGTTGTATGATCCACGCAACCATCATGGTGAAGTCATGACATCTCTCCCGTAATGGAGTGTCTAACTAAATCTGTAAAAATCAAGATTCTAGATCTAAGGTTTTTTGAAAAAAATTTTGTGAAGGAGGCTGAAGAATTTGAGGAAAATAAAAAAAAGGGAAGGACACTGAGAGAGAAGGGAAGATGAAGAAAAAGAAAGATATTATGGATTTAGGTGCAGAGAATTAGTAAAAGAGGTGGGGAAGAATGGAGAGGAAGAAAGACGAAGGGGGAGGCGGCGAGGGGCTGAATGTGGTTTTTGATTGTTCTATTTTTCTATTTAAATATATTAGGCTGGATTAAAAAAAGGAAAAACAATACCAAAGTGTGGTTTTTCCAAGTGAGGTGTTGCTTTTTTTGTCCGATCAAAAACCATATCATCATGCCTAGTCAGCATTTGTGAACCCGTAACAGAGACGCAAATGGAAATATGACGTATTCAGATGTCATCATTAACAAAAGGGCTAATTTGTGGAGTTTGAGACTTTGAGTACTAGAGGGGTTGATTTGCGCTACTTTCAAGTAGAGGGGCTGAATTGCACCTTTGCCATTTTGTAATCCGGTATTTATCGCTTAATTAAGTAAATTTAATTAGGCAAAATCTCCACGACGCTTTGTACATGTGACGTGATAGCTAACATTGTATAACTGGCTCTTACCAAGTTACGTTTGTACTCCTCTCTCAAGTAAGTGCTGGTTTTTTAATTTTTTTTAATTCAAGCTTTGAGAAAATTTTATATGTTTATCTATAATATTATTAAATAAGATGATAAAAAATAAATAAAAATTTATAATAAGATAATTAATTAAATAATAGATAAAAATAAAATAAAATAAAATTTATATTATTTACTTGTAAAAATAAAAATAAAAATATGTATGCACACAAATACACAGGCACCCACACACACACATATATATATATATAAGTATATATAGCAATGTTGACTTAAAAAAAAAATTTAAAGTATTTATTTTAAACAATATTTTTTTATTTAATTAAAATCTAATTTAAAAATTTTAAATTCACTTTATTAATTATTAATATATTGATTTAGAAACTGACTGTAAATTTTAATACAATTGGTTTTTAAATTTATACATTAATATTTAATCGAGTGAATTTTTAAATTTTAAATTTAGTTTTCAATTTTAAAATATAAGTATGAGCATTTAATAAAGTGAATTTTTAATTTTTAAATTAGGACTATATCAAAGCTATCTTCTCCCTCTCTCTCTATATATAATTAGCTATAATTTTTGAAATTACAAATAAGATTTAGGTCTAATTTCTAAATCAAAATAAAAAAACTTAGAAACTATATAGATGGAAACCAAAAATGAATTCAATTTTGTCCAAGCATCAAATGTCTAGATTCATTTGGGTGGTAGGTAAAAGATTTGGTGATTAATTATGAATATTGTGAGTTTAAAGAAAAGAAAAGAATTCAAGAGAGTCTCATTTTTTGTTGTTAGAGGTCTTAATATTTTCAAGCTAATTTAAGGGGAGAAAAATCAAGTTTGCAGCAAAATGCTTAAGTAATAATGGCTTTTTTTTTTTTATTAACTTCTTAATATTCAAAAATTACATTGAGTTTTGACTAATTCAGAGTTGAACTGAGTTAGACCCATAAAGGGGAAACTTCTTAATACTTATTTTTTCATTTACAAGACTTAAATTCAAAACATTGTTAAAAAAAAATCAAATTCTTTTCATTTAAACTAATAAGTCGTCGATAACAATATCGCATTTTAATGTAAGGTTTGGATTCATATTTAAGTGGTAGGGATAAGATTTGGGGATGTATATTATTGATTGATTGTTTATATTCATATATGAATCATATCTAAGCTAAGGAAACTAAGAAAGTGTAATTGCCCATAAATAGTTAGAAGCTAATTTAAGGGAAAAAGGAATAGTTGCTAATTTTTACTTAAGGAGAAAGTAAGGTTGGGTTATACCCGAGGAAATGTTAAAAAGAAAAAGAAAAAGGAATAAGAGCTAATTTAACAAAAATGTAATAATTAATTGTTTTTGAAACAATAGATGAAGGGAAAAAAAGACACCAGGGGTTAG